ATGTATGCATCAGAATGCCGCCTGGTGCTTGTAAGCGTCCTCTAGCCATCAGCACCATAGCTGGGCCACAACAGAGTAGGGTGACAAGAGACGGCATTCGATGCAGCGTGTGGGTCTATGGTTATCGTGATGACACACAAGCTGGGAAGCTCGCCACGCATACCGTGCACGGAATGTGGCTGACGTGACGGTGATTTCGTGTCTCAGGGGACGAGAAAAAGGTCCGAAAAAAATTGTTGGTTGCGAGACGTTTTTGGAGCCCCTATAGCTCAGTGGTAGAGCACCCGCTTAGTAAGTGGAAGGTCGGTAGTTCAATCGTGCCTGGGGACAGTGGCCATGTGCCGTACCTATCACATGTCACAAGTTCTAGTATCTCCTTGCTCGAGAGAGTGGCTCAACTTGCTCGTATCTTTTCATCGTAGTAGGCGTTACGCCTCCATTTTATACAACATACTTTGATAGGCTCGCCTGCTATATCCGTACCATAGGCGGTGACGATCAGTCTATCTCATAAAGTGTCATATCCTTTACTTCAATCGAGTCATTGGCTAGCACCTCGTTTATAACGAGCGCGGCTGTACGTCACATTGATACCAATCCCCGTTTTGTTGGCACTTCAAATAGATACGACATCGATACACCTTGCTGCAAAGTATTTAACGTCTCTACCACATCCGCGGTACAGCAGTAGCCTTCGTTTGTCCCGTCATTTTGTGTTAGTTACAGTCCAGGTGGGATGTACCGGACATGTATGCATCAGAATGCCGCCTGGTGCTTGTAAGCGTCCTCTAGCCATCAGCACCATAGCTGGGCCACAACAGAGTAGGGTGACAAGAGACGGCATTCGATGCAGCGTGTGGGTCTATGGTTATCGTGATGACACACAAGCTGGGAAGCTCGCCACGCATACCGTGCACGGAATGTGGCTGACGTGACGGTGATTTCGTGTCTCAGGGGACGAGAAAAGGTCCGAAAAAATTGTTGGTTGCGAGACGTTTTTGGAGCCCCTATAGCTCAGTGGTAGAGCACCCGCTTAGTAAGCGGAAGGTCAGTAGTTTAATCCTGCCTGAGGGCAGTGACCGTGTGCGCATCCATTATAAGGCACAAGTTCTAGCACCTCCTTACTCGAGCAAGCCATAGCTCCGTGGTAGAGCACCCGATCAGTAAGTGGAAGGTCGGTAGTTCAATCGTGCCTGGGGACAGTGGCCATGTGCCGTACCTATCACATGTCACAAGTTCTAGTATCTCCTTGCTCGAGAGAGTGGCTCAACTTGCTCGTATCTTTTCATCGTAGTAGGCGTTACGCCTCCATTTTATACAACATACTTTGATAGGCTCGCCTGCTATATCCGTACCATAGGCGGTGACGATCAGTCTATCTCATAAAGTGTCATATCCTTTACTTCAATCGAGTCATTGGCTAGCACCCCGTTTATAACGAGCGCGGCTGTACGTCACATTGATACCAATCCCCGTTTTGTTGGCACTTCAAATAGATACGACATCGATACACCTTGCTGCAAAGTATTCAACGTCTCTACCACATCCGCGGTACAGCAGTAGCCTTCGTTTGTCCCGTCATTTTGTGTTAGTTACAGTCCAGGTGGGATGTACCGGACATGTATGCATCAGAATGCCGCCTGGTGCTTGTAAGCGTCCTCTAGCCATCAGCACCATAGCTGGGCCACAACAGAGTAGGGTGACAAGAGACGGCATTCGATGCAGCGTGTGGGTCTATGGTTATCGTGATGACACACAAGCTGGGAAGCTCGCCACGCATACCGTGCACGGAATGTGGCTGACGTGACGGTGATTTCGTGTCTCAGGGGACGAGAAAAAGGTCCGAAAAAAAATTGTTGGTTGCGAGACGTTTTTGGAGCCCCTATAGCTCAGTGGTAGAGCACCCGCTTAGTGAGCGGAAGGTCGGTATTTCAATCCTGCCTGGGGGCAGTGACCGTGTGCGCATCCATTATAAGGCACAAGTTCTAGCACTTCCTTACTCGAGCAAGCCATAGCTCCGTGGTAGAGCACCCGATCAGTAAGTGGAAGGTCGGTAGTTCAATCGTGCCTGGGGACAGTGGCCATGTGCCGTACCTATCACATGTCACAAGTTCTAGTATCTCCTTGCTCGAGAGAGTGGCTCAACTTGCTCGTATCTTTTCATCGTAGTAGGCGTTACGCCTCCATTTTATACAACATACTTTGATAGGCTCGCCTGCTATATCCGTACCATAGGCGGTGACGATCAGTCTATCTCATAAAGTGTCATATCCTTTACTTCAATCGAGTCATTGGCTAGCACCCCGTTTATAACGAGCGCGGCTGTACGTCACATTGATACCAATCCCCGTTTTGTTGGCACTTCAAATAGATACGACATCGATACACCTTGCTGCAAAGTATTCAACGTCTCTACCACATCCGCGGTACAGCAGTAGCCTTCGTTTGTCCCGTCATTTTGTGTTAGTTACAGTCCAGGTGGGATGTACCGGACATGTATGCATCAGAATGCCGCCTGGTGCTTGTAAGCGTCCTCTAGCCATCAGCACCATAGCTGGGCCACAACAGAGTAGGGTGACAAGAGACGGCATTCGATGCAGCGTGTGGGTCTATGGTTATCGTGATGACACACAAGCTGGGAAGCTCGCCACGCATACCGTGCACGGAATGTGGCTGACGTGACGGTGATTTCGTGTCTCAGGGGACGAGAAAAAGGTCCGAAAAAAATTGTTGGTTGCGAGACGTTTTTGGAGCCCCTATAGCTCAGTGGTAGAGCACCCGCTTAGTAAGTGGAAGGTCGGTAGTTCAATCGTGCCTGGGGACAGTGGCCATGTGCCGTACCTATCACATGTCACAAGTTCTAGTATCTCCTTGCTCGAGAGAGTGGCTCAACTTGCTCGTATCTTTTCATCGTAGTAGGCGTTACGCCTCCATTTTATACAACATACTTTGATAGGCTCGCCTGCTATATCCGTACCATAGGCGGTGACGATCAGTCTATCTCATAAAGTGTCATATCCTTTACTTCAATCGAGTCATTGGCTAGCACCTCGTTTATAACGAGCGCGGCTGTACGTCACATTGATACCAATCCCCGTTTTGTTGGCACTTCAAATAGATACGACATCGATACACCTTGCTGCAAAGTATTTAACGTCTCTACCACATCCGCGGTACAGCAGTAGCCTTCGTTTGTCCCGTCATTTTGTGTTAGTTACAGTCCAGGTGGGATGTACCGGACATGTATGCATCAGAATGCCGCCTGGTGCTTGTAAGCGTCCTCTAGCCATCAGCACCATAGCTGGGCCACAACAGAGTAGGGTGACAAGAGACGGCATTCGATGCAGCGTGTGGGTCTATGGTTATCGTGATGACACACAAGCTGGGAAGCTCGCCACGCATACCGTGCACGGAATGTGGCTGACGTGACGGTGATTTCGTGTCTCAGGGGACGAGAAAAAGCCGGGAAAAATTGTTGGTTGCGACACGTTTTTGGAGCCCCTATAGCTCAGTGGTAGAGCACCCGCTTAGTAAGCGGAAGGTCAGTAGTTTAATCCTGCCTGAGGGCAGTGACCGTGTGCGCATCCATTATAAGGCACAAGTTCTAGCACCTCCTTACTCGAGCAAGCCATAGCTCCGTGGTAGAGCACCCGATCAGTAAGTGGAAGGTCGGTAGTTCAATCGTGCCTGGGGACAGTGGCCATGTGCCGTACCTATCACATGTCACAAGTTCTAGTATCTCCTTGCTCGAGAGAGTGGCTCAACTTGCTCGTATCTTTTCATCGTAGTAGGCGTTACGCCTCCATTTTATACAACATACTTTGATAGGCTCGCCTGCTATATCCGTACCATAGGCGGTGACGATCAGTCTATCTCATAAAGTGTCATATCCTTTACTTCAATCGAGTCATTGGCTAGCACCCCGTTTATAACGAGCGCGGCTGTACGTCACATTGATACCAATCCCCGTTTTGTTGGCACTTCAAATAGATACGACATCGATACACCTTGCTGCAAAGTATTCAACGTCTCTACCACATCCGCGGTACAGCAGTAGCCTTCGTTTGTCCCGTCATTTTGTGTTAGTTACAGTCCAGGTGGGATGTACCGGACATGTATGCATCAGAATGCCGCCTGGTGCTTGTAAGCGTCCTCTAGCCATCAGCACCATAGCTGGGCCACAACAGAGTAGGGTGACAAGAGACGGCATTCGATGCAGCGTGTGGGTCTATGGTTATCGTGATGACACACAAGCTGGGAAGCTCGCCACGCATACCGTGCACGGAATGTGGCTGACGTGACGGTGATTTCGTGTCTCAGGGGACGAGAAAAAGGTCCGAAAAAATTGTTGGTTGCGAGACGTTTTTGGAGCCCCTATAGCTCAGTGGTAGAGCACCCGCTTAGTGAGCGGAAGGTCGGTATTTCAATCCTGCCTGGGGGCAGTGACCGTGTGCGCATCCATTATAAGGCACAAGTTCTAGCACTTCCTTACTCGAGCAAGCCATAGCTCCGTGGTAGAGCACCCGATCAGTAAGTGGAAGGTCGGTAGTTCAATCGTGCCTGGGGACAGTGGCCATGTGCCGTACCTATCACATGTCACAAGTTCTAGTATCTCCTTGCTCGAGAGAGTGGCTCAACTTGCTCGTATCTTTTCATCGTAGTAGGCGTTACGCCTCCATTTTATACAACATACTTTGATAGGCTCGCCTGCTATATCCGTACCATAGGCGGTGACGATCAGTCTATCCCATAAAGTGTCATATCCTTTACTTCAATCGAGTCATTGGCTAGCACCCCGTTTATAACGAGCGCGGCTGTACGTCAAATTGATACCAATCCCCGTTTTGTTGGCACTTCAAATAGATACGACATCGATACACCTTGCTGCAAAGTATTTAACGTCTCTACCACATCCGCGGTACAGCAGTAGCCTTCGTTTGTCCCGTCATTTTGTGTTAGTTACAGTCCAGGTGGGATGTACCGGACATGTATGCATCAGAATGCCGCCTGGTGCTTGTAAGCGTCCTCTAGCCATCAGCACCATAGCTGGGCCACAACAGAGTAGGGTGACAAGAGACGGCATTCAATGCAGCGTGTGGGTCTATGGTTATCGTGATGACACACAAGCTGGGAAGCTCGCCACGCATACCGTGCACGGAATGTGGCTGACGTGACGGTGATTTCGTGTCTCAGGGGACGAGAAAAAGCCGGGAAAAATTGTTGGTTGCGACACGTTTTTGGAGCCCCTATAGCTCAGTGGTAGAGCACCCGCTTAGTAAGCGGAAGGTCAGTAGTTTAATCCTGCCTGAGGGCAGTGACCGTGTGCGCATCCATTATAAGGCACAAGTTCTAGCACCTCCTTACTCGAGCAAGCCATAGCTCCGTGGTAGAGCACCCGATCAGTAAGTGGAAGGTCGGTAGTTCAATCGTGCCTGGGGACAGTGGCCATGTGCCGTACCTATCACATGTCACAAGTTCTAGTATCTCCTTGCTCGAGAGAGTGGCTCAACTTGCTCGTATCTTTTCATCGTAGTAGGCGTTACGCCTCCATTTTATACAACATACTTTGATAGGCTCGCCTGCTATATCCGTACCATAGGCGGTGACGATCAGTCTATCTCATAAAGTGTCATATCCTTTACTTCAATCGAGTCATTGGCTAGCACCCCGTTTATAACGAGCGCGGCTGTACGTCGCATTGATACCAATCCCCGTTTTGTTGGCACTTCAAATAGATACGACATCGATACACCTTGCTGCAAAGTATTCAACGTCTCTACCACATCCGCGGTACAGCAGTAGCCTTCGTTTGTCCCGTCATTTTGTGTTAGTTACAGTCCAGGTGGGATGTACCGGACATGTATGCATCAGAATGCCGCCTGGTGCTTGTAAGCGTCCTCTAGCCATCAGCACCATAGCTGGGCCACAACAGAGTAGGGTGACAAGAGACGGCATTCGATGCAGCGTGTGGGTCTATGGTTATCGTGATGACACACAAGCTGGGAAGCTCGCCACGCATACCGTGCACGGAATGTGGCTGACGTGACGGTGATTTCGTGTCTCAGGGGACGAGAAAAAGGTCCGAAAAAAATTGTTGGTTGCGACACGTTTTTGGAGCCCCTATAGCTCAGTGGTAGAGCACCCGCTTAGTAAGCGAAGGTCGGTAGTTCAATCCTGCCTGGGGGCAGTGACCGTGTGCGCATCCATTATAAGGCACAAGTTCTAGCACTTCCTTACTCGAGCAAGCCATAGCTCCGTGGTAGAGCACCCGATCAGTAAGTGGAAGGTCGGTAGTTCAATCGTGCCTGGGGACAGTGGCCATGTGCCGTACCTATCACATGTCACAAGTTCTAGTATCTCCTTGCTCGAGAGAGTGGCTCAACTTGCTCGTATCTTTTCATCGTAGTAGGCGTTACGCCTCCATTTTATACAACATACTTTGATAGGCTCGCCTGCTATATCCGTACCATAGGCGGTGACGATCAGTCTATCTCATAAAGTGTCATATCCTTTACTTCAATCGAGTCATTGGCTAGCACCCCGTTTATAACGAGCGCGGCTGTACGTCACATTGATACCAATCCCCGTTTTGTTGGCACTTCAAATAGATACGACATCGATACACCTTGCTGCAAAGTATTCAACGTCTCTACCACATCCGCGGTACAGCAGTAGCCTTCGTTTGTCCCGTCATTTTGTGTTAGTTACAGTCCAGGTGGGATGTACCGGACATGTATGCATCAGAATGCCGCCTGGTGCTTGTAAGCGTCCTCTATCCATCAGCACCATAGCTGGGCCACAACAGAGTAGGGGTGACAAGAGACGGCATTCGATGCAGCGTGTGGGTCTATGGTTATCGTGATGACACACAAGCTGGGAAGCTCGCCACGCATACCGTGCACGGAATGTGGCTGACGTGACGGTGATTTCGTGTCTCAGGGGACGAGAAAAAGGTCCGAAAAAATTGTTGGTTGCGAGACGTTTTTGGAGCCCCTATAGCTCAGTGGTAGAGCACCCGCTTAGTAAGTGGAAGGTCGGTAGTTCAATCGTGCCTGGGGACAGTGGCCATGTGCCGTACCTATCACATGTCACAAGTTCTAGTATCTCCTTGCTCGAGAGAGTGGCTCAACTTGCTCGTATCTTTTCATCGTAGTAGGCGTTACGCCTCCATTTTATACAACATACTTTGATAGGCTCGCCTGCTATATCCGTACCATAGGCGGTGACGATCAGTCTATCTCATAAAGTGTCATATCCTTTACTTCAATCGAGTCATTGGCTAGCACCTCGTTTATAACGAGCGCGGCTGTACGTCACATTGATACCAATCCCCGTTTTGTTGGCACTTCAAATAGATACGACATCGATACACCTTGCTGCAAAGTATTTAACGTCTCTACCACATCCGCGGTACAGCAGTAGCCTTCGTTTGTCCCGTCATTTTGTGTTAGTTACAGTCCAGGTGGGATGTACCGGACATGTATGCATCAGAATGCCGCCTGGTGCTTGTAAGCGTCCTCTAGCCATCAGCACCATAGCTGGGCCACAACAGAGTAGGGTGACAAGAGACGGCATTCGATGCAGCGTGTGGGTCTATGGTTATCGTGATGACACACAAGCTGGGAAGCTCGCCACGCATACCGTGCACGGAATGTGGCTGACGTGACGGTGATTTCGTGTCTCAGGGGACGAGAAAAAGCCGGGAAAAAATTGTTGGTTGCGACACGTTTTTTGGAGCCCCTATAGCTCAGTGGTAGAGCACCCGCTTAGTAAGCGGAAGGTCAGTAGTTTAATCCCTGCCTGAGGGCAGTGACCGTGTGCGCATCCATTATAAGGCACAAGTTCTAGCACCTCCTTACTCGAGCAAGCCATAGCTCCGTGGTAGAGCACCCGATCAGTAAGTGGAAGGTCGGTAGTTCAATCGTGCCTGGGGACAGTGGCCATGTGCCGTACCTATCACATGTCACAAGTTCTAGTATCTCCTTGCTCGAGAGAGTGGCTCAACTTGCTCGTATCTTTTCATCGTAGTAGGCGTTACGCCTCCATTTTATACAACATACTTTGATAGGCTCGCCTGCTATATCCGTACCATAGGCGGTGACGATCAGTCTATCTCATAAAGTGTCATATCCTTTACTTCAATCGAGTCATTGGCTAGCACCCCGTTTATAACCAGCGCGGCTGTACGTCGCATTGATACCAATCCCCGTTTTGTTGGCACTTCAAATAGATACGACATCGATACACCTTGCTGCAAAGTATTCAACGTCTCTACCACATCCGCGGTACAGCAGTAGCCTTCGTTTGTCCCGTCATTTTGTGTTAGTTACAGTCCAGGTGGGATGTACCGGACATGTATGCATCAGAATGCCGCCTGGTGCTTGTAAGCGTCCTCTAGCCATCAGCACCATAGCTGGGCCACAACAGAGTAGGGTGACAAGAGACGGCATTCGATGCAGCGTGTGGGTCTATGGTTATCGTGATGACACACAAGCTGGGAAGCTCGCCACGCATACCGTGCACGGAATGTGGCTGACGTGACGGTGATTTCGTGTCTCAGGGGACGAGAAAAAGGTCCGAAAAAATTGTTGGTTGCGACACGTTTTTGGAGCCCCTATATCTCAGTGGTAGAGCACCCGCTTAGTAAGCGAAGGTCGGTAGTTCAATCCTGCCTGGGGGCAGTGACCGTGTGCGCATCCATTATAAGGCACAAGTTCTAGCACTTCCTTACTCGAGCAAGCCATAGCTCCGTGGTAGAGCACCCGATCAGTAAGTGGAAGGTCGGTAGTTCAATCGTGCCTGGGGACAGTGGCCATGTGCCGTACCTATCACATGTCACAAGTTCTAGTATCTCCTTGCTCGAGAGAGTGGCTCAACTTGCTCGTATCTTTTCATCGTAGTAGGCGTTACGCCTCCATTTTATACAACATACTTTGATAGGCTCGCCTGCTATATCCGTACCATAGGCGGTGACGATCAGTCTATCTCATAAAGTGTCATATCCTTTACTTCAATCGAGTCATTGGCTAGCACCCCGTTTATAACGAGCGCGGCTGTACGTCACATTGATACCAATCCCCGTTTTGTTGGCACTTCAAATAGATACGACATCGATACACCTTGCTGCAAAGTATTCAACGTCTCTACCACATCCGCGGTACAGCAGTAGCCTTCGTTTGTCCCGTCATTTTGTGTTAGTTACAGTCCAGGTGGGATGTACCGGACATGTATGCATCAGAATGCCGCCTGGTGCTTGTAAGCGTCCTCTAGCCATCAGCACCATAGCTGGGCCACAACAGAGTAGGGTGACAAGAGACGGCATTCGATGCAGCGTGTGGGTCTATGGTTATCGTGATGACACACAAGCTGGGAAGCTCGCCACGCATACCGTGCACGGAATGTGGCTGACGTGACGGTGATTTCGTGTCTCAGGGGACGAGAAAAAGGTCCGAAAAAAATTGTTGGTTGCGAGACGTTTTTGGAGCCCCTATAGCTCAGTGGTAGAGCACCCGCTTAGTAAGTGGAAGGTCGGTAGTTCAATCGTGCCTGGGGACAGTGGCCATGTGCCGTACCTATCACATGTCACAAGTTCTAGTATCTCCTTGCTCGAGAGAGTGGCTCAACTTGCTCGTATCTTTTCATCGTAGTAGGCGTTACGCCTCCATTTTATACAACATACTTTGATAGGCTCGCCTGCTATATCCGTACCATAGGCGGTGACGATCAGTCTATCCCATAAAGTGTCATATCCTTCACTTCAATCGAGTCATTGGCTAGCACCCCGTTTATAACCAGCGCGGCTGCACGTCACAATGATACCAATCACCGTTTTGTTGGCAAATACATACGACATCGATACACCTTGCTGCAAAGTATTCAACGTCTCTACCACATCCGCGGTACAGCAGTAGCCTTCGTTTGTCCCGTCATTTTGTGTTAGTTACAGTCCAGGTGGGATGTACCGGACATGTATGCATCAGAATGCCGCCTGGTGCTTGTAAGCGTCCTCTAGCCATCAGCACCATAGCTGGGCCACAACAGAGTAGGGTGACAAGAGACGGCATTCGATGCAGCGTGTGGGTCTATGGTTGTCGTGATGACACACAAGCTGGGAAGCTCGCCACGCATACCGTGCACGGAATGTGGCTGACGTGACGGTGATTTCGTGTCTCAG